ACTACATACAGCTTTTCTCTGTCCCAGACCATATACCAGGAGCTTCTGCCTGCTAGTAAGAAGGTAAGGAGACAAGTGCACCAGCGAGTGCTAGGGGACAGTCCTTAGAAAGCCTTGAGTGAGCGCATCATTAGATGCATTTATGCCAAGCTCAGGGTGCTGTCTGCATAGTATGCCCTTAGTTGGCCAGCTGCATGATTGGCAGGCAGCCTGACATGCATTCATGCCTGGCTGGCCTTCTAATTCTTTGAGCAGACATGTCCTCTTTTTGGGCATGTTCGGCCCTTTTGGCAGGTTACATGATTTGTGGCAGTGGCACACCCTTTTACCATGCCCATTGACTTCCTGCCTGACTGGACACTGCTGTTAGGGGTTATGGATTTACTTGAAAGATGAAAACATAAATTAGAGAGAGATTAGCCTAGGGTATGTGTTTTCTTATAGCTGCTGTTTTCTTTCTCTCCAGCACCATCAGATACATGATGCTTTGGAGTGTTTTACTGTTTTTGGTAGATATGATTCTGTAATTAGGCCAGTCATAATTGTCAGCACCAGGCCCACTGGGCTCTTAATCTGGCCCTGCCTATAGTGATCCTTTAAGGAAGGAAAGGGGGACCATGGGGCGGTTTTTAACACTACAGAGTCAGGAATACAGATTTGTAATTCTGACCCTATACTATTCATTTAAACAGACTGTGCAATAAAGGAAGTTTAAAAGGGGCATCTCTAATGTATATTAGGAGACATTGTACACTATATCCAGGGGAGGTGTGGCTAGAACTCTATAAATAAAGTAATTTAATTGATAAATGGAATAGACTTGAGCAGTAAGGCTGCAGGGACGTAACTGATGCACCAACACTTGCTTCTTTAGGCTAAAGTTGTTTTAGTGCTTAGTGTGCCCCTTTAATAAATATGATTATGTACACGGTATCACACTGTACTGAATGGCTGGAGACAAAGATTTCAAGGTGACAATCTAAAGATAAGAAATGAAAATAAATTACTATTTATATAATAATAGATATTATTAATGACTAAAATGGCATCCAAGGTAGGACTTACCACAAGCTCTGGCAGCAGAGACACATAGATCTTCAGCAACATATTCTCCAGGGGGTAGTTCCAGACAATCCCCATTCTCTTTCCCTATTGCATGATAGAGAATGACACAAAACCCTCTTTCAGTCTGCTTTGGAACACCTGCATTCACGTTCACATCCTCACTTGGATGGCCAGATGAGTCTGTAGTTATGCTCATTTCGGTCATTGTCAGGCAAGCCATTACATTACTTCATGGGGAAGTTTTACCTGCAAATTAAAAAGAGCAGATGTTATTTTGGTGGCTCTTAAAGAGACACTTGCAGGGTACATTTATGCAACTCCCATGTTAATGCATAAAAGCATGCATTAAATATTTAAGTAAAATAAAAACCCTGCAAGAGCATTAAATGAATATAAAAATTAATTCACATTTTAAATTCTTCTTGCATTTCATGAAAAACTCCAGACTTTGTAGGATTAGCGGTGAGCTCTCACAAAAAACGAATGCTTACCAACTTCCAATAAGCAGTGTAGCTGAGAGCATTAGATAAATTGTCCACTCACTGTGGTAAAAAAGCCAAAAGCTGAATTAAAACTCCCAGAAACATCATGTGCAGAGAAAGTGTTTCATGAGTATAAAAGTATATCCTTTTTGTTTTGTTTTTATAAACGTACTGATTTCAACAGAAATCAGTTGAGCTAAACCCAAAGTTAGGCACTTGCGCAAAATGTCTGCGTTAGTCTAATCTTTCGCCTCTATGAGCTGTATTGTAGGCATAGGATTGGTTATTCCACTGGAACAGACATGAAAATATGCTCTAAGTAAGAAGTGGAAGTCTTACATTAGCGGCAGTTACTAGATCTGCCGCTATTGCAAGCTAAGATTTCATATACCCTGGGGCATAATTACATGCATGTTTTCTTAGTGCGTTTATCTGCTGAACGATTAAAAACATGTTGGAAAATTATGTCAATGGCATTTATTTAGCCCACTCTTCAATTTGAAATCTTTGTGTGTCAAAAAGCCATAAAAAAATGCTTGCCACTACACTTGGTACAAGCTAGCGGAAAAATTATCCCACACTAAGGTTCAAAATATGCCTTTTAAAATACACTGGGATGTCTTCTTTAAGAAATGGTATACCTTTATTGTGTAGTTGGAATATGTCGCTTTCTGAAGTGCTCCAGAACGGAACACGGAGCCATTAAAACCATCTAAGAAAATTCACACTTAAAAACCTGAATTTGTCACGTCTCTTTTACAGCACTGTAACTTCACATAATAGTGTCTAGGTCATACATCGGGTATTGTTTTACTCAGAAGATGTAACTGATCATTATTTGGGGGATTTTATGACAGTGGCACATATCAAGTGTAAGAATACTCAGCAAAAATGCAACATGTATGAAAAAAATGCCTTTTTTTTCTCACCACAAACATTGACATAAATTGGTGAAAAAATTGTGACAAGTTAAAGAACCACTATAGGCACCCAGACCACTTCAGCTTAATGAAGTTGTCTGAGTACCAGGTCCAGCTAGGATTAACCCTTTCTTCTATAAACATAGCAGTTTCAGAGAAGGTTAATCCAGCCTCTAGTGGCTGTCTCATTGACAGCCGCTAGAGGCGCTTCTCAATGTGATTTTCACAGTGAGAAGACGCCAGCGTCCATAGGAAAGCATTGAGAATGCTTTCCTATGGACTGGCTGAATGCGCATTCAGCCAATGACGGCGATATGGAGGAGGAGAGGAGGAGAGGAGGAGAGGAGGAGAGGAGGAGGAGAGTTCCCCGCCCGGCCCTGGAGAAAGAGGTAAATTTAACCCCTTCCACCCCCTAGAGCCCAGTGGGAGGGGGGCCCTGTGGATGGGGGCACCCTCAGGGCACTATAGTGCCAGGAAAACGAGTATGTTTTCCTGGCACTATAGTGGTCCTTTAAGGCACAATATACACCATGTAAGATACCCTGGGGTGTCTGCTTTCTCAAAAGAAAACCCTTTGTAAGTTTATTATAACATTTAAACAGCTATAATGACATAAAAAAGAGACATAGGCCCTTCAAATCCATCTATGAAAATTCTAACTATAGAAACTGAAATAGCCTTGTCTCTTATATGGCATTGTAGCTTCACAGAATAGTGCCAAAGGCATACAATGGGGGCATCGTTGTACTCAGCAGATATAGCTGAACACAATTCTGTACAGGAATAGCACGCACGAGTTTTACTAAATAAACATTGCAAAAACATTGTTATATGTGTATATGCCAAAATAGAGGAAAAACACAATTTTACCCCAATATTTAGCAGAGATTAGCGATGAAATGGCTACGTAAAAAGTGTTTCAGACATGAAAATATGATCTAAGTAAGAAGTGGAAGCCTTACATTAGCTGCAGATACTAGATCTGCCGCTATTGCAAGCTAAGATTTCATATACCCTGGGGGGAGGGGAGGGGGGAAATAACATGTAAAAATAATTGCATGCATGTTTTCTTGTGCGTTTATCTGCTGAACTATTAAAAACGTGTTGGAAAATTAGGTCAATGGCATTTATTTTGCCCACTCTTCAATTTGAAATCTTTCAAAATCTATACAACGCAACAGAATAAATTATCCAAAAAACTTACTTAGATCCATTGTACAGAGCTACGGAATTTGCTGACGCTATATAAATATTAAAAATAATAATAATAATGTATCTGAGTTTCATATGGTATGTATTGCAGTTCCCTGGGGCCTAAGGAATACGAGCTTTCTGCTACAGAAATTGGGGTATGGGAACCCGATTTTGCATCCCTTCTCAGATACTAAGAAGCAACGTAAATGCCCATTTATTGCATTCAACTTTGTAGTAGGTCTGTGGCGGTGTAACAGTTATACATTTATCCCCATAAGATAATATCACATTGAGGATTTTCAGCAGTAAGAAAATTAGTACCAGGCACATTATTAGTGTTTAGATAAAAAAAAATAAGAAAATATAACAATAAAAAAAACTTAATTAACCGTATAAGTAAACCAAAACATTGCTGTGTTGTACATTTAAAAGCATACATAAAACTTTCCTTTCTTCTCAGTACCTAAAATAGTATGTAATGTGGAAATAAAAATGAAAAGGAGATGAACCAGAGTACAAAACCTTGATTGCAACATTTAATCACCTGTGTGACATGTTCCAGTCACAATAATGGACTGAATCACAGACAAGATGTACAGGTGTAATATTGCATATTTAACTAGTAGGTAATATAAAAGCAACAATTGACTCATTATACCAAGTATTAGACCTCATACTCTATCCATCTATTCCCTACATTCCAAGCTTTAAATATTCTCTGAAAATATATCTATTTAGACAAGTCAACCATCTCCGCCATTGTAATCTACTGTAATTGTCCTATAATGACAACCTTCTCACTCAAACCCCTACCTTAGAGTGCTCCAATCCCTGGTATTCAAGGACCACTATAGGCACCCAGACCACTTCAGCTCAATGAAGTGGTCTGGGTGCCAGGTCCCTCTAGTTTTAACCCTGCAGC